GTGTCAAGAGAAAGCCAGGTTTTTGAACAAGCAAGTAAGGTCAAAGGTCAGCTATTTTAGGAACAAAATGTACCCAGAAATGTGAGCTGAAAAGGAATTCTTAAAGCTAACAGTTAGTCCTCAGGAGAAAACCAGGTAATATACAAAGTAAACGCCCATGATAACTGGCAAACTAAGAGTGGGTCAGGTATTCGTAAAAAGTTCACGTGGGTGGGCAGTTGGCATTGTTAGGACAAGCGTTGCTACAAGAAAGGAGAAAATTGTGTCAACAGTGGAACAATTAAGCTACTAGGGAGTCTACAATACAAGACAAATAAAGTCTCTGAGAGCACAGTATATGGTATGCTCTGAATGTCTGCATCCCCTCAAAATTTTATGTTGAAATCTTAACCCCCTGCACAGCAATGGTATTAGGCAGTGGAGCCCTTGCCAGTTGCTTAGGTCATGAGGGTGGGGCCTTCATGAATAGGATTAGTGTTCTTATGCAAGAGACCCCTCAGAGCTCTCTCAACCCTTCCGCCATTTGAGGACACAGAGAGTAGGTGCTGGCTGTGAATCAGGAAGCCAGCTCTTACCCGAACACAACCATGCTGGTGCCTTGATCTTGGACTTCTTAGCCTCCAGAACTTCGAGAAATAAATTTCTGTTGTTTGTAAGCCACCCAGTCTGTGGTATTCTGTCATAGTTAGCTCCAATGGACTAAAGACAGTATAGAAGCTTAACCACTGAAGAACTAGGGTTGAATAAAAGAAGCCAGTTGTAAGTCTTGAATATACAGCTGAGGGGGAGCTAAATGCATGACCGACTCATTGCTGAGCAAGTGAGCTGCTCCCTTACAGTCAGGGACAATGAGGTCTCAGCTGGTATGGGGGAGGAGCTGGACCAAGAGAAGCCTCAGTTCGGTCTTTAAAGATGTTGAGACACTGCTGTGCAATCTTCTTGAGGAGGAATAGTGGCCCTAGGAAATAACACCAAGCACATCTCTTCTTGAGGCTGGCTGGAAGAGGGTCGGAGTGCCAGGTCCCTTATGCGCCCATGAATAGACACAGAGAGGGGGCAATGGTAGCTTAGCAGGGAGCAGGGAGCACGGTAACCTAATTCTCTCTACCTTCCGTCCTCTCCCTAAAGGCATAATCGGAATTACCCAGAGTTTCACCCGGGTTGGTGTAGGAACACTCTGCAACATAAGGTGTTTTCTGATGTCAAAAGCAGATGGTCCTCTTTTCATTTCCGTGTCCCCTTTCTTCCCTGTGAGAAGCGGTTGCTACAGAGTCTTTCCTGGGTCATTTCATTCCCAGGAAAGCTGCAGAATGTTCCTTCTGTATTTGCTCCAGGGAGGGGGCGGATTGTGAGTACAGAGGGCCACACTCCTCCCACACGGCCTGACAAAATGTCCCTGAATAGCTCTGCTAGCGAAGGGCACACTCTGGAAAACTCATGTCTTGATGCTCTTCCACTGGCGTCCATTTAGTCCCTTTCAACATGTGTTTATTGTATTTTCCCATCCATGTGTGTAAAAGTCATAGCAGTTGCCCTTAAGTGTTTAGCCTGTTTTCTTTATTTGATAGGGGACTTGGCTTCTGAGAGGAGTCAAAGATGGAGAAGAAATGGGCGAGGTGTATCTCAGGGCCCACTGTCCGAAAGTCAGCAGTGAAATCTGCTTTTGCCCTTTTCCACATCAATTTTTCATCATTTTGCCTATGTTTGATTCTCCCTCATAACTCCGGGGTTTTAGTTTCTTTTTGAAGCTGTTAATTGCCTAGAGTTACAGAACACTGGAGCAAAGAACCAATCAATCTCATAACTATCATAAGAAAAGCATTAAAACCAGCAAAACATATTAAGAATATTCCTGTAGACGTTTATAGATATTTTCTGTAATAAAGAGTGAAGTTTATAGTCTGTCTGGTAGCATAATATGCTCAGGAAGAGGCAAAGATGCTACTGAACAGTGAAAAAGAACATTGCAAAGAATTTTCCAGTTATGCAGTTTTAAGGGTGATGTTCTAAGATGGGGATAAATCTAACAAGTGCAATAGTGTTTTCTCAGATCTAATTTAAAAAATATTAGCTTCTGGAAATCTCTTACTTGTTTCTTTGTTTACAATTATTCTGAATGTTTTCTGTTATCTGTGATGAAATTTGAAAAGAGCTGGATCCTTGGCTGGGGGGAGTGACCTGCTTTTGCTTAAAAAGGCACTTGTTGGGTAGCGTCTCTGCATGATATTTGAAAGTTTTCAGAGGTGAGAAGGGTAATTGAAGCTTCCAGAGTCAAGAAAAACTACAAAAGAAGCTCATTTTTATAAATGGTGTTGTCTGTCTTATATAACCCCCTGGAAGACACCCAGTTCTCACTTCTAAGAGCTCTTATGAGTCAATTTGTCATTTGATATTTTGTAGAGTTTGCAGTAAATGGTAAGAAGTGAATTCTTCTATTAAACTTCAATGATTAACTAAATCCACTCGATTTCATACTGTAGTTCCTTGAGGGAAGCTATTCTATCTCTTTCCTCTCCTTGCCCAGCCAGCTCCCAATATGGAGAACAGTTTCTTACATGTACTACAGGCCCAACAAGTATTTGTAGCATTAAACTGAATTCGGGAAATTCCCCTTCTTTGGGGTATGGAACTGAAAACACGTGAAGCCATAAAGTTTTGCCATCCTCACCCCACCCCCATCAACCCCCAAGTATCTGCCTTTCCTGGGGCTGGTGATGAGAATCTCCCCAACCTCTCCCCTGCTTCCTCTTCCTGCTCATCCCTCCTCCTCTTCATCCCCCAGTCTCTTCTGTTTCTTCCCGTTCCCCTCCTCCTTAGAGATTCTAAGCAAGAAATCTATATACACAGAGAACAAAACCAACCAGGAAGCAAGATGCCGATTTATTAATAGCTGGGCAAGGACTCAATCATTCCGATGCAAGGAAGATTTGGAGAATAAGGTTTAGGTAAGGAAGTCTAAGGAAGGCTTCTTTTTGTTTCCTTGTCCCTGAGTCCAAGATTATCAGGAGTCCACTTAGCTGCCAGAATACATCAAGATGGATAGAAGAAGGTCTTACTGCAAGACAGCAGCCCCATCAGGGTCCTGGGCCGGAAGCACAGAGCTTACCACGTGGACACAGGAAACGACTCAGATGGGACTGTCCTTTAACACGGGTGTTCTGACCACAGGTAAAAAGTGGCCAGTGGGAGGCTCATGTTCTCACCAACCAGGGAACAACCGGTTCTACTTTGTACAGGGACTAGTGGAGGACCAGGGGAGAGGGCAGAAGAATGGGGGTGCCTGCTGTCCTCCTGGACTGAGACGGGAAGTGGAAGAGGGAACTGAGGGTTCCCCGACAGAGAAGTATAGACACAGAATTGGAAAGTGAGTTTAGGATTCCTTTTGATCTCTATTGTCCAGAGGAAACCAGGCCACAGAGCTCGGATTTTTGCCCTGGACCCAATTCAATACACGAATCATCACCACCGGACCTCTGCTTGACCCTCACCCCCTCCACCCAGCTTCAACCTCTCCAAATTATTTCCCTCTATTCATCAAGTTGCCACCAAATTAGACATCTTTTAAGTTCCTTACACAGCCTCTGTACTTTTCGGTCTCCATATCTTTATTTTAGTCCCTCCCACCACTCTGTCATAAACTTCTACAGTGGGCCCTGAGTATCCATGGGTTCTGCATCTGCGAATTCGACCAACTGTGGATAGAAGATATATATATATTTTATATTCCAGAAAGTTTGAAAAGGCAAAACTTAAATTTACCTAGTGCAGGTAACTATTTACATAGCATTTACATTGCATTATGAGTAATCTAGAGATGATTTAAAGTATATGGGAGGATGTGCATGGGTTATATGCAAATATGACACCATTTTATATAAGGGACTTGAGCATCCACAGGAGTCCTGGAACTGATTCCCTGCAGGTACCGAGGGACAACTGTGTATCCTTCAAGACCCAGCTCAGATGCTACTTCTATATGACAGTCCATGATTGCCCCAACCAGAAATAGTTGCACCCTCATGGGTGTGTCCGATGTGTGTCTTACAGTGCAGAGAGCAAGGATCTAGCAGTCTGAGTCTGAAACCTGGCTACCCAGCTTTTTAGCTTTGCCCTTGAGCAAGTTACTTACCTTTGCTTGTTACTCGGTTTCCTCATAGTATATCATACAGGGAGTTGCTACCTTATAGTGACTGACATCATGTAAATTATATGATATAATGCCTGACACACAGTAAGTCAGTCTCCAAAAAGGGAGCCTACTGTTACAGCTTGTAGCCATCTTTAGCATCAATTACAAAATATGGTGAATTATATTTATTTGTAGACCTGAGTTATCTCCTCCCACTGGATAATTCACTTGCTGTGGCAGCAACAATAGCTTCCCATGTTTGTATCCCTTCCATCCCCACCCCAGGGTCTTGCATGATGCACACAAACAAAACCAACAGAATGGACTTAAATGTAGCAAAATAGACTTGACCCTCTACATCAGTTCATATCACTCTAAATCATTAATCGCTGCTTACCTTGAATGGGCACTGTATAGACTAATTAGTACTACAGAACACTACGTATATTAATTTACTCAAAATATCAGACGACCAAAGTTTATATTTTTGCAGACATCGGATGTATTTTTTAAAACAGTGCTTTGTTTGAATAAAGTATTAGAACCTATTAATCTTTTATCCTAACGTTTGCTTAGCCATTGCCAGAAGTTCAGGCCTTGCCAACATTTTTTCCTCCACCTCTTTAAGAATTATTTCCTTTAGATTTAATCTGATTTTTTTTATTACAGCACACTCTTCTTATCAAGATCGTTTAATAGACACCTCAAATGAATAAAGGTTAAAAAAAAAAAAAAA